ACGACGGTAGGGATTGTCACTCATTTTGTTCAGATTTCCAAGGAATGCATTTGTAGGGAGTCATCATCGATCCAAGCACGTGTCAGGACATGGAATGTTAAAAGTGCCGGGCTCCAGCCTGGGACAGCCGATGCGTTCACACATTGGCCCTCGGCAGAACCCAAGGGCAAGCCACCACGCGGCCAGGGAACCATCCTCGGCCAAGGAAGCTTCACAAAAGACCCCAGCTGGTTGAGGCAGAGGCGAGTCTCTTACCGCTTACGCTGGCAGCTCCCACGTGACCGCAGACCACACAGCGCTACTCTCCCAGGCTGTCTTCGCCATGCAGACCGGGCATCACCGATGAAACTGAATGGGACTCGCCAATGCTCACGGACACCCAAGTCCAGCCACCTCCACCTGGGATGTGGGGAGAAGAGACAGGTGTGCTTCAGCATGGCGGACAGGTCTGTGGGCATCCACGGCAGTGCCACGCAGCGGGGACACGCTGCTCTGCCTCTCCCTATAATCTGGGGGCTCCTCCCGTGCCTGTGGACAGACACCCACACGTGGATGCTTCCAAGCATGGGGGCGTGGGGTACAGGATGGGGGATGGAGGGAAGGGTGGCCAGAAGTGGAGCTGGTCACGGGCAGGGGAGGGGGAGGAGGTGGAGGTGGGCAGCCAGGGCCACCCTGGGCACAGAGTCCTGCAAAAGAAACGAGTCCCCAGTCCACGCACCCCACCACTGGTCTCCTACAGGCCATCCGCACGGCCTTCAGGGGATCTCGTGGACCTCGCCCTCCCACGGTCTGGGTCCCAGCCCAGAACACCTCTGCCCAGCAGCCATGGCCCTCGCAGGTGCAAGCCCACTAGCGGCACCTACTCATCCCGAGAGTGAAGTTCACACCAGGTGGACTCGAAACGGCATCGGCAAGCTAGCCCAAGGGAACTGCCCTCGGCTCAAGGGGAAACGCCCCAGGAGCAATGAGCCCAGAAGCTTCATGGAGAGGACCCTTCGTGGCCTAGGGCCACAGGGGCACAAGTGGCCTCCCACAGCTGGCCACCCACGCTCCTGCCCTCTCTGCCTCGGCCAGATCCCGTCCCTTGATCAAAGCAGAGAGGCCACATGGGGCTCGAGAGACCCCTAATTCCCGAGGTGCCAGTGACCAACCCATCTGGCAGGAGGTCTCCTAACACTGGTTCAGGCGGGCTCCAGAGCAGGACCCATGCAGGGGGTGACCTCACACTCTCATGCCACTTGCGTGTCTGCCTGCATCCAAGGGTCACCCACGGAGGCCCGGGTCACCAGAAGCCTGAAGGGCATTATGATGTGGCCTGATCCTGCCCTGGGGCCATGCCCCAAGGGGCTAAGCCTTGGACCAGGAGCACCACCTGGCCTCACAACACAACCAAGACCTCCGTGAGCCTGGGGTACCCACCTCTGCCCCAAAACAAGCACATGGGAACCATGTGTGGGTCTGGCCACCAGGCAGAAAGACCCGTCAGCACGTATCCTGATCCGGTAGCCTCGCCAGCCTATAGTCCAAGAGCAATTCTCGCGGCACTGTTCCCCGCCACATTCCGCCAGTTGGTGCCCACTGCCCTCCCACTGGAAACCCAAACTTCTGGGGAACCTTGCATGGCCTGGCTACCCACCTTGAGGGAGCCTCTCCAGGTCACCATTCACTGCCATGCCTGCCAAAGTCAGCTCTGGAGGGGAGGGGAGGGCGTTGGAAAGGGCACTGGACCCCAGATTCAACCTGCCCATCTGAACTCCACTGGCAACCCCAAGACGCCCAGGCGCTGCCGCCTCCCCCTAAGAGGAAACACGTCAAGCCCACCGCAGACGGGTGCCCTGGCCTCCCAAGGCTCACTGACACCCGGGCAGGCTTCTCTGCTGCATTCCTGTGGCCAGTGGTGACCTGTCCCAGCGGGTATCACGCCACCTCCAACCCCCACGTCACACTAATGCGTCATTCCGGGACCACGGTTCTAACTGCCTCTATCTCTGCCGAGAGCTTCCCTGGCCCCTGTGGACCACAGCCCTTTGACCTGACCACCGCATCCCCATAAGACATCACGATGGCCCTGGCACACAGGATGGACACTATCGCCCAAGTGATGCGGTCGGCATAGATGACTTCCCCAGTCCTGATGCCCACTGAGCCTACCCTATCAGGAAGGCACGCCACATGCCCTCCTCCAGGGAGTAGCTGAAGAAGAACCCTGACCCAAGCCTGGCTGGAGACATTCTCCTATCCCGTGTCCAAAACCTCTCTGCCCTGGAGTGGACAAGGCACAACGGCAAGGGAGGAGCAGGGCCCGGGGCCGATTCTGTGGCCGGGGCAGCAGCAGGGTTGGGGGTGAGCGGTGGCAGGGAGGGCATCAGAGACTCACAGCAGCCTGCACCCCCGTGGTGTGGTAGGCTGACCTCTGCCACACACACCCTACTGGGCCGCTCTAGGAGAGGCCAGACCATTGCCCCAAGATGGCCTGGATTGCACCTCTCTGCCGAGTACAGATCACCTCACTTCTTCAATGCAGAAAACACACCCGAGCTCAAGAGATCCCAATTTCCAGTGCTGCCAACAAAAAACCTATCTGGATGAGACACCTAACACTGATTCGGGCGGGTTCCACAACAGGACCCAAGCAGGGGGTGAGCCCTGCTGTCATGCAATTGTATGGGACTGCCCTCGAGGAAATGTGTAGTCACTTGGCAAGTGGTGCCCTTGCCCACCTTGGGTCAGGACTCACGTCCTGCCACAAAATGGCACGAGATCGATGCCACTGAATCTACATTTGCCAATTGAGAACCCAAGGGGCGGCTGAAAATGGCCAGAGACTACCCGTCTCAAAGTCACTTGGCAAAGCACGGCACGCCGTCTCTACCTACAACCGCTTCTGACCAGGACGCAACGTTGACGTGGACTCGGTCAGGCCGCTAGGTGTCCCACCGTGACTGCACCTCAGCGCCCGCCGGCAAACCCAAGGGCCCACGGGAATGCTGGCAGCCATGGGATGCTGGGGGCAAAGGCGACAAATACCAACGCACAACGGAGGGGAGGGGCCC